TTTGAAGCCTCTTAACTCGAAAAGTACTTAACGAAAAAATACTTAAGTATAGTGTTTTGGAAAGCTCTCGAGATAAGCTACAAGAATATACAATAAAAAATGGGGGTATCCATTTAAAAACATCATTGTGACCTTGACCTGATCTTTATGACGCAACTCAAGGTCAAACTGCTAATATCATAAAATAGATCTTTTTAAACCCTACAACTTTTGTATTTAACATTTTTTTATACAACACTTTGTTTTCGAGATATTCAGGTGTTCCGGTATATAATATTTACCCTGTATACGCGAGCCAAGCTCGCCTTCACGTCCGCACAGGACTTAGACGCTGCCAGAGACGCAGCATATACACGCGACATAGCTCGCCTTCACATAGTCGCTGCCTGGGCCGCAGCACTTACGCGAACCACGTTTGCTTCTTCACCGACACTGAAGCTATACCCGTCGCATACGCGACTCCATGCGCGAGTTCCACTCGCGCCTAAGTCCCCGCGAGACTTAGGGTGCGTTCGTTTTGGACGCTCACATACTTAAAGCGCTCACGCTTATGAGCGCTATTTTTGCCCGGTTACTTTGATTTCTAAGTGCACTCATCGAAAAGATCAAAACCGTTTCCTTTGGCTGTTGTAAACAATTGTGAACGTAAAAATGGAGGATAAAGATAAGAAAATTGTGTATTTGCTCAAATATTAGTTTCATTAGATGTTTTTGATGATAACGATGTCATGGTTCCGGTTTCGCTCGGAGCGGTCGGATGACCTTAATGTCGTTGGGCGAGCGATCGTGACACGCGAGGAGACGGTGGACGTGCTCGCCGGTGTCCAGAGTCGGTGTCGCTAGTGTGAGCTGGAGTGCGCGTATGCGCGGGGTGTGGGTGCGTGAGTAACTGCGTTGATGTGTGGATTTCGAGATAATTTATTCCGCTGAACTTACGATTAAGTTACCTGTACTTACAACTATCTTGTGGCCCACGAGGGCCTACCCTATACTTACAACTAATTTATAACTAATTTATAACTAACCTTATGACTAACGCGGGCTTACAATTAATTTACAACTGGCTTATAACTAACGCGGGCGTCTCACGAGTCTATTCTATCGCGTGTGGGTTACCCATTGTCCTACTCCTAGCCGCGGTGCGCGGAGCGCCTGTCGCAGTTGACCCGCCGGACGCGGGTCAGGCTTGTGTCGGCGGAGCGGTTGTACTCGGCGCGGTTGGCGGCGTGCCTTGAGGTACAGGTTGGCAGGTGAGGAAGCGTACGTGAGGGACCAGCCACCGGAGAGCCCAGAGACGGTGAGCGCGCCACCTCTGTATCCCTTGGTCGCTGGAAAACCTCTTTTCTCTTTGTACGGGCCTTGAGGGCAGGTGAGCACACCTTTCCTCGCGGTCGGGTCTCCAATCGGCAGGGAGGTCAGGAGCGCATGACCGAGGCGGTGAGCGCGCCACCTCTAGTTCCCGTGCCTCTTGGGGAGCGGATGAGGCGGACGACCGTACTCGGGGAGGATGAGCGCACCTTCCCGTTGCGGCGGTTATCAGGATGCTGGTGGTAGCCAGCGAGGAAGCGGCGAACGTGCCAAGGCGAGTACGGACGCCGCGGGACTGCTCCCGTATCGTTATCGCGCCTTGCTTATATACCGGCCGGCTCGTAATTTCGGCACGTACGCCGTTCCCCCACGCGCGGGCATCCGCGGCGGTGCCGCGAGCCGGCGGCGGTTTTGGTTTTATTTGTTTGACGCTTTGCGCCTATTACACGACCCGACGGATGTTCGGTCGGGTCGTGGTGACGAGGTCGTCTCGTCACAACAAAACAAATAACTTATATAAAGAATTAGAAAAGTATTTATCCGTAATGATTGAATCAATAAAAAAAAAAAACAATACCTTGGTTAAAAAACTATGTGGAAGTGATTGTACCATTATACAATGATGAAGTATTTAAGTCACATTTTAATAACTTTTTACTTTATAACTTTTGTTTTATTTAAGACCAACGATTTTAACTTTCATATAATATTCATGTTTTATACAACAAAATATGAAGATTTAGGTAAATTTGTGAGAAAGTCCGTTTTCTTCATCAAATGTATTACTAGTGTTGCTGAAATATTACTTATTTTTTTTTTTAAATTACTGTTGGACAGTGCTTTATTACTCAAAATAAATATGATTTAATAACAAAAATAATAAATTTTTATGAGAGGTGTCCTAAACTTATCTATTTCTACACGTTTTGCCTCATTTGATGTAACAAGTATATACATTTCATTATTTGTAACATCTTGCAGAGTTACTCTGGTTTTGTTACTCTCGTTGGAAGTTATTTTGAAACACTTTCACTTTAAGATTTATATTGGAGGTTAGATTGCGTCGATTTCATCGACGCAATCTAACTTATCGTTCTCTTTGGAAAATAAGCGCTTATAAGTGCTCACGCTTTTACTGCCCTACCTCGATAGAAGAAGTGAATGTAAGCGCAAGTTATGACGTCACGCATGATGTCAATATGCAGTTTCTAAGCGCTTATAGCGCCAAAGTAAACGACGTGAGCAATATTTATAAGCGCTTAAAGCGCGTAAGCGTTCAAAGCGAACACATCCTTAGTCTACGTCGCCCGCGCGACGTTACGATTCTCATTGTTCTTGATCCTCCGACAAGGGGGACTTCTCCTAGCGCGGAAGCGTTGGGAAGCGGTGCATCCCCGCAGGGCCGCCGCTTCGATTGATCTAGCTCGCTTTATTTGAGTCAGCGACCCACCACACACGGAGACGAAGACTCTCAACTCTGGGGTGCGTTCGAAAACACTGAAAGTCCACGACGGAAAGTGGCTGTGGTGGATGGGCTTGGTGGGGTTAGTGGAGTTGTTATCGAGAGGAGTTTTCAAACAGCCATGGAAGAATGCTCAATGTGACATACTACATGTGTGTGTGCCTACATATGTGTTGTACAAAATGGCTGATCGAAAGCGTTTTTAAAATCATCTAACCTAGTCAAGTACTAAGGTCTGGTATTCACAATGCTAGAAATCGGTCCGAGTACTAGAACTGAGAAATGTAGCCAATAAAATTGTCGCTTTTCTATAAAAGTTTGTGCAAGCAAAATGTTATCTGGAAAGTTAATTGGCTATATATTCCTCGGTACAAGAACTCGGATCGATTTCTAGCATCGTGGGCACCAGGCCTAAGGAAATTTATACTTATTTATTACTCCTTACCTCTAACATCGTATATATAGACATTTCCCTTGTCATCCTTTTGTATATTTTTTTTAATATCCATGCATAAAATATGACGACCCGGGATTAAATTTTCCATTTTTTTTCACAAATTGTTACTGATTCGTAACTTTTAACGTGCCTCGTATCTCGTAAGAAAATTTCAGAACCTATAAAACACAAAAAGCTTAATAAGCTTTATTTATATTTAAAGACAATATTCTGACAATATACATCACTATAGAAATAAACCTAAACCTGGCTAACCTACACTGCTGTATTTAAATTTTTTATCTTACCGTGATGGCTACCCTTATAGAAATATCACACTAAGAATCATTGATAATTACTTATTTTCAGTATTAAAAATACTGGATAATAAGTAATTATCAATGATTCTTAGTATGATATTTCTATAAGGGTAATGGTTGTACGAATATTTCGAAGAACAAAAATAATTTAGTAATTTCATACTGTATTGCACTTTTTGCGCACTCTCCACCATCTCCACCGATTCACACCGCGCAAAAGATAGTGGAGAAAAGTCACACGAGTGGTCCACGGAGTACGGTTTTCGAACGGCCATGGTCGCATGGTCAGTGTGCCCACTAGGGGTTTTCGAACGATCTGAGTGTGACAAAATACACACGGGTGATGTTTTCGAACGCACCCCTGGAGAACCTCGCGAATCGCTTGCCTGCCCCCCACGCCATC